CACTTGGAGTATTGCGTACAGTTCTGGTCACCGCATTATAGGAAGGATGTGGAAGCATTGGAAAGGGTGCAGAGGAGATTTACCAGGATGTTGCCTGGTATGGGGGGAAGGTCTTATGAGGAAAGGCTGAGGGACTTGAGGCTGTTTTCGTTAGAGAGAAGAAGGTTAAGAGGTGACTTAATAGAGACATACAAGATGATCAGAGGATTAGATAGGGTGGACAGTGGGAGCCTTTTTCCTCGGATGGTGATGGCTAGCACGAGGGGACATAGCTTTAAATTGAGGGGTGATAGATATAGGACAGATGTCAGAGGTAGGTTCTTTACTCAGAGAGTAGTAAGGGCGTGGAATGCCCTGCCTGCAAAAGTAGTAGACTCGCCAACTTTAAGGGCATTTAAATGGTCATTGGATAAACATATGGATGATAATGGAATAGTTTCGGTTAGGTGGGCTTCAGATTGGTTTCACAGGTCGGCGCAACATCGAGGGCCGAAGGGCTTGTACTGCGCTGTTATGTTCTATGAAAGGATCCACTGATGAGCATGTCCCAATTAGTAAGTGCTAATTAGCTCTTGCTAACTGGCACATTCATTACAGTGGCACCTCCATTTTGAAATTAAGTTATCAAGAAGCATGAAACAGAATTGTGAAATATTTCACAGCCATGCCAATAAAAGCTTCATTGATTAGCATTCATACTGATGAAGTTTGGATATTGTTGAGTTCAATCCGTTCAGAAAAACTGCACAAGCACAGAAACTCCCAGCCACTGCTACAGCTCATGACCTGCTCCTGTTTTAGCCAGATGCTGAGTGTCCGTCAGTTCGAGGATGACATTTCTCAGGGTCACTTGTTTCTCTCTTGGGTCGTCATTTGACTAAACATGCCAATTCTCAAACCGCATATCTTTGAGCACAGGAGTTGGGATCTAAGTGATCCCTCCCTTCTCGTCTCCAGACTCGTGATCCTTTCCCTGGTGTCTGTAATATATTTTTCTTTGCTGTAAGTGTAAGGAAAACTGAGATCTGGCACAAGATTACATATCTAACACCCTGTTGGAAGCGCTCAGCAAATATGACCAATCATTAAGAGCAAAGAAAGCTGTTGACTGTGTTTAGCTGATTCTCAAATTGTGGGTGCTCATCAGGCAGAGGAGACTGCTCTGGGTCAAGGATCTTGACAGGAAATTCAGTTTGTGTTTAATATCTGCAAATAGTTCTCTTCTAAAATCCTATAAGATTTGACAAAATTCATCACTGTTAGTGCAAGATAGAAATTCAAAGCAGAACATTCTAGTTTCTGTGGAACAAATTTTCTTCTCCTATTACCCCAAATCTGTTAATTCTGGTATCACATTCTCCCTCCTCCTGGCTTGAAATCCAAACCCATCTCCACCTTCTTCTCTCTCCACTTCCACTTTGCCTCCTCCCTCCATCTTCTCTGCTTGGCTTCAGTTCTCAAAATGTTGTCTGCACAATGACAATCAAATCAATGAATCTGATTTGCCATATGTGGTCTCCAGGGGTTTGTGAATCCTCTTTCCCCCCACCTCCCAGTGTTCCTTCTTGATCAGGGCCTCGTTACTTTCCCCCTGAAAGTGGATTATCTCATTTATTCACCCCTCTTCCCCCATCCTTTCACATGAACCATGTTCCAGTCGCTGTCCCAGGATGGGATACCTGGCCAGTCCCACGCCTGTGCACTAACCTGCAATGATGTGCAACCTTCTCAGCCTGAACTCAGTGAGCAGTTCTATGCTCCTCATCCATGGCTCTGGAACAGATGAGGCTCCATTATTGTCGATCCAAATCCAAATCTATCCATTGCTTTGTCACACCTCTGTCCTCCTTGATTGCCTCTGTCCTCTTATCTAATTACCTCTGCCTCTAATCATGTTTGTACTTTAACAATGTTTAGTATTTTGTTGTTTCTGCAAATTGTGTCCAAATGAAGTTCCCACTGCCCCAGCAGTGTGCTGCTGGTTTACCAGATTTACTTTCCCATCATCAGCAACTGTTTTTCCTCTACTGGAGCTCATTTCTGCTTGAGCTTATGTAGACAGTCAAATTCTGCAGCATTTTTATTCCCTGTAATTTATTCAGCACATTCCGAAATATCTGTTTTTCTCTCCACAATTATTGCCTGACCTGCTGATTATTCCGACTATTTTCTCTTTTTGCTTTAAATTTCCAGCACCTGAAAATTTTCAACCAAGCCTAGAAATACAGGTGGACCTATTAGGAGTAAGAACGCAAGCAGCAGAATTTTAGATCACATCAAAATTACTGAGAAGTTGAATGTGTGAGGCCAGCTTGGGAGAGCAGGAGGATGGTTAAATCTAGAGATATTAAGAGAATGGAGAAGAAACAAAACCAGATGAGTTGAGACTAGGGTTGAATTAGGTGAATTCACTGAGGCGGAAGTAGATGGAGGGTCTTGGTAATGACGGAAATCCTGGTAATTATATTGTTTAAAGTTTAGTTTGGGCATGACATTGTTATTCTGACTGGTCTCTCTCCTTTGCCTCTGTTTTCTCACTTCTCTTTTTGCTTCATCCCTTAGAGGCCAGAGTCTTGTCCACGTTCATATTGGGTAGCAGATTCTCTTCCTGATGGACATTAGCGAGCATTGGGTTTTTAGGACATTCTGCCAAGTTTCATGATGAATTTCTCTCATAGCTGATCCAACAAATTGCTGTGTTCAAAACCAAAAACAGAAACTGCTGGAAATGCTCATTGGGTCTGGCAGCATCTGAGAAGAGAAAGCAGAGTGAACATTTCAAGTCCAGTGACCCTTCCTCAAAACAGAAATTACCGTCTTAATTCATTTCAACGTCACAGCCGTTTTTTGTGCGTGTTATCTCATTCCTTTTTTTTCTGTTTTAAAACAGTTTCAGAGGGTGCCAGAGGGGGAGGAATTACAGTCAGAGATCACAGATCCAGCAGCACCTCAGAAGCTGATGGAAGTTTCCAGTTTATCACAAACAGAATGTAATTGGATTTTGAGCGTGGAAGGAAGGAGCACAGTTCACAGTGAAGAGAAACCGGACACATGTTCTTCTTCAGCCAATCATGTGACCTGTCGAGACACAGGTGCAGTTACTGTGCGAAGAGACCATGGAAATGTGGACACTGTGGGAAGGAATTCAGTGACCAGTCTGAGCTGGAAATTCACCAATGCAGCCACACTGCAGAGAGACCATGGAAATGTAGGGATTGTGATGAAGGATTCAGATCCCTGCCTGTGTTGGAGATCCATCGGCGCAGTCGCACTGGGGAGACACCATTCACGCGCTCCAACTGTAGTAAAGGATTTATTTGCTCTTCCTACCTCATGACTCACAAGCGAGTTCACACTGGGGAGAAACCTTTTAAATGCACGGACTGCAAGAATTGTTACAAATGTTGCGGGGAAACGATGTCCCCTCACCGTATTCACACTGAGGAGAGTCTGTTCAGATGCTCTCACTGTGGGAAAGGGTTCAAGACGTCATCTGAATTCACTGCTCACCAGAGAATTCACTTTGGGGAGAGGCTGTTCATCTATAGTGTGTGTGGGAAGGTATTTACTTGGTCATTGCACCTCACAATACACCAGCAAGTCTACACTGAGGTGAGACCTTTTTAAATGCCTAGAGTGTGGGAAGTGCTTACAGAGTCTGACTATCTGATGAACCATCAATGCATTCATAGACAAGAAGTAGCTTTCAAATGGTCTCTGCTTGTGGATCTGCTTTCAAACAACCATCTCACTTCACAGTACACGAACGAGCTCACACTGGGGAGAGGGCATTCACTTGCACTGAGTGCGGGAAGAGATTCACTCAGAAAGCCCTCCTGCTCAGTCACCAGCGAGTTCACAGTAACAACATGAGTTGGACTTTGCTGTTGGTCACATCCAGGACTGCAGCATGTTCATTGGCTAATAAACCCCTGCTCAGTTTGAATTGTTAATATTCTGAATAAAAATAAAATAAATCAACTTTGTAATTAATCAGAGCTTTTTACTATTTTGTGCAATGAACTTGTGTTGTTTTATTGAAGGAACATTGGCAGCCTCAATAATTAACCATCATCCTACTTAAATTGCAAATATAAAACTTATGATCTATCAAACCAGGTTTCACTCTGAGATCTGACTTGTGCAGTATTACCATCAACTGGGGTCATAACATTTGGAGAATGCGTTGAAATTTATTAGATTCATATAGGTGGATGTAGATCAAATTTCTCCCCTGGCTGCTGAGTCTAGAATCAGGGGACATAGTCTCAGAATAAGGCGTAGGACATTTAAGACCATTCAGAAGGGGTTGAATCTTCGGAATCCTTTACCCAGAGCTTCATGGAAGCTCGATCATTGCAGATGTTCAAATCATAACTCAACGGATTCCTGGAGACTAATGACATAATCAGAAATGGGAATCCTGCAGAAAAGAAATGATCAGCCATGATCTAATAGAATGGCGGGGGAGGCTCAAGGGCTGAATGGTCCACTCCTGATCTATGTTGAAGGGCTTTCCCTGTCTTCTCAAGTCCAACAACGAACAAGGAGCTGATAGACTTTGTCACAATGAGTGATACCATCTGATCAGTTGCCTCTGCCATCTGCCTCCCTTCTCCTAGCTCACCAGGACAAACTGCCTCTCATGTTCTTTGAACATTCAACTTGTATTATTCTTCAATTTCTCTCCTATCTCCTGTCATGTCCTATCAGTGTTCAGTTGTCCATTTCACTTAACGTTTGAGTCCCTGAAGCGGATTCCTAGGGTATCATCCAAGGATCTCTCCTGGGCCCCTCAGATTTCTCATCACTGGGCAGCAATTTCTGAATACAGTGTTCCTTCACATGCATACACTGACTTAGTTTAGCTCCAATTCACTACCATCCATCTCCATTCCTCCATTGTCACTATATTATCAAACCAATTATTGCAAAAACAGTGACTAATGAGCAGAAATTTCCTCCAAATGAAAGTGGAGAAGGCAAAGCCATTGACTTCAGTCACCACAGCAAATTCTGTTCCTTAACTACCAAGTTCATCCCTCTCCCTGGGAGATGTCTCAGGCTCAATCACACAATCATGGTGTTAAATTTAACCTCAAAATGAGCTTCTGATCATATATCACTGAGAGAAACAGGTTATTTGCCTTTGAACACAAAGGCTAAAGAGTGATTTTATCGAGGTGTGGAAATATTATAGGAGTTTTGATCGACATAGGGAAAAGTATTTCCACTGCAGGAAGTTTGGTAACCACAGAACACAACTTCAAAGTAAGTAGCAAAAAATCCAGGTGACAATGAGGGGAGATGACCTTACTCAGTGAGTTCTGATGATCTGGAGGACATTATCTGAAAGTCTGGTGGAAGCAGATCCAACAGTAACTTTCAAAAGTGACTTGGAATTTTCCTCAATAAGGAAAGTTTTATAGGGCAGGGAGAAATTGGAGGGGAGTGTGATAGTTTGTCAGCATTTTTCAGAGACAGTACATGCACAATGGGTCAAATAGCCACCTTGTGTACTCTCAAGCTTATTTGCTTGTGTTTATAATGAGTCAGGATTTAATTGTTTACACAGTTCCTGTTTCATTAATAATTAGTTGCTTCTTCCTTCAATAATTGGGAATAATTCACCACTTATGTAAAATAACAAAATTATTACAATGAATAATATTCATCAATGATTGGTATCCTGTTACATTGAAGTCATTTGCAGATTGGAAAAGATAAATAATCTGGATGTTACTGCATCGATAACCATGGTCCAAATACATGCCTCCCCTTCTGCCAGTGATCAGCGATTCTCAGACCCCTCACCCCAAAACAACTAAAAGGTGACACAGATTCTCAGGCTTAAAAAGGGGTCACATTGGGAACATTTTGGGAAGCAGTGATTTAATACAATCCCTTTCTAGACTTTAATTGCACTGAACTCATTCCTTATCTTGTCATTCACTGTCACAACGTTCTATCTCCCTGAGAAAAGTTATCATTAATCATGGCCAGCTCAGTGGTTAGCACTGCTGCCTCCCAGTACCAGTGACCCAGGTTTGATTCCACCCTCGGGTGATTGTCTGTGTGGGTTTCCTCCAGGTGCTCTGGTTTCCTCCCATACTCCAATGTAATGGGCCAGGATCAGGCAGGTGGGACTAGTTTAGTTTGGAATTGCGTACGCCATGAACTGGTTGGACCACAGGGTCTGCTTCTATGTGCAGCTTTGGTGGATTGGCCATGGGAAATGCAGGGGTGTAGGGATAGGGTAGAGGGTGAGTCTGTTGGAGTGTGGGAGGCTCTTTGGAGGCTTGGTGTGGACTCAATGTGTTTCAGGCATCCTTGTGAGTTGTTGAATTGGTGTTTCACTCTATTCCTCACCCTGGAACTGTCAGATGTGGTGCTGTCAGATCGTACACGGCATTTGGTTATATAAAACGCACATCGGACTGAAGAGGCTTGGTGGATAGCATTTTTTAGAAGGGCTCAAGATATATGGAGACAAAGCAGGAATGGGAAACTGAGATTGAATAATCAGCCATGACCATGTTGCATGGTGATGCAGGCTCAAAGGGCTGAATGGTCTACTACTGCACCTATTTTCTATGTTTACCCAAAATCTTGTCAATCCTGGTGCTTTAGGCAGATCTGCAAGAGTAGGGTAAGGAGGTAAATCCTGTTCCCTGCACATTTCCTGTAGCTGGAGAGGATCATGTCTGCTGTCAAACTGTCAGCACAGAAACCGCACTGCGCTTCTGGATACATTCGGGCGTCTGAAGGTGGATGAAGTCTTTCAAACATGATTCTTGTGAAGACTTTTCCTGTGATGCTGTGTGAATGTCCCGTAGTTGTGATGTCCTCTCACGTCTTTCTTTATGTAAATTGTGATGATGTTTGCATCACACTTGTCCTGTGCAACAGACCCAACTCCCAAGAGGAGGCAGAGGTCATGAGGGTTGTGGGCTGTGAAGCAGATGGGACTTTCTATGTTTGAGCAGTTCAGCTGGAATTCTGTCTTTGCCTCTCTGCGTGGGAAGTGGTCAATGACCTTTACAGATTTCAGCATTCCTCAACCAACTCAACATGTCAGGAAGCTGTAGGAGAGCTTCAAAGAGAAACTGAGAGAATTTTGTCTCACGGGAGAACAGCTCACAGTCGTGTTCAACCCAACAGAACATCAGTTGTGTCAGTGAGAACTGCCCTATCTGCTGATTTCAGTGGTGAGAGGGAGAGGGGGCACATTAGTGACGGTAGGACCAAGTGCCAATTGGTCCCATCCTACACAACACATTTCCATTGACACAGGCAGTTTGGATTGTTTTACATTGGCTAACCCAGTGATTGTTTGCTGAGTATTGTTCTGCCTTTTGCATCATTCTCTTAGCTATGGCCAGTGTTACAGGGTTTGAGCTGTGTCAGAAAAGATCGAACTGTACAACTTTCAAATGTCATCAATTATCAATGTTGAATGATGACGTTTCTATTGATGTGCCTGTAAAATACTTCATTCTTCAGTCTCATGCTGTTACATAATTTAATTTAATAATGGATGTGTCACAGTCAAGAATGTGCAAATCAGTGAGAATTGTCAGCAAGTATTAATCAGCACTTTCTAATTGGAGATGTTCATCAGTGCAGCCTTTCAGACACTGAGTTGTAGATCTGCCACCAAAGGTCCATTTAGAATTGAAATAAAAGTCCATAATTTTACAGTGGACAATTTCTGAGGTTTCTTGAATCCAGAGGAAAGATTTCAGATTGAACCTTAAAAAGGGACACTGTGTCTCCCAAAATGAATGACGTTATCCGGAATATTAAACACTAGCTAGTTACAGGGCTGTTCACATCAGCAGGAACAAACCAAATACTTTCACAGAATGAATCCTGCATGTAATTAATATGGGCAAAATCAAAATCCTATTGTCACTTTTGAACTCACCAATCTATCAGCAGGTAACACAATTGAGTGAGTCCCTTCCCAAACATGGAACAGGGGAACAGCGTCTCCCTAGTTTGAATGTGTTAGTGTACAGAAGGGTTCTGAAGAAGAGGCACTGCACCTAAAAATGTTGACTCTGTTTTCTCTCCATAGATGCTGCCAGACCTGCTGTGTTTCTCCAGCAATTTCTGTTTCTGATTTGGAAAACTGCCTGAAACCATTTCAAGAGGGAAAGCAGCTGAATTGTTTCTCCTTAGTGTGAGCTTGGTGGGAGAACGAACAACTGAGTGAATCCCTCCCAACAAACAGGGAAGCTGAACGGTCTCCCCACTGTGTGAACCCTCTGGTGTCCGACCAGGTTGAGCAATTGAGTGAATCCTTTCCCACAAACGGGGTAGGTGAATGATCGCTCCCCCATGTGAACTCACTGGGGTGCAGTGAGGGTGGATGAATTGTTGAATTTCTTTCCACAGTAAAAGCAGTTACAGGGCCTCTCCTCAGTGTGAATTCTCTGGTGTGACATCAGGGAGATGTCTGAGTAAATCTCTTCCCACATACGGAACAGACAAGCGGCTTCTCCCCAGTGTCACTGCGTTGATGGCTTTCCAGTCGACGTGAAGAAGTGAATCCTTTACCACAATGCTCACACTTCCATGGTTTCTCCCTGATGCCAGTGTTTCTGTGTCTCTCCAGGTTGCATATTCAGTTGAAGCCCTGACCCCACATGCAACCACGTGTACTGTGTCTCCCCACTATGAGCAGTGTGATGATCATTCAAGCTGTGTAACTGGTTAAAGCTCTTTCCACAGTCAGTGCTGCACTGGAACCCTCTAACTCAGGTTGTGTGCGTCTCTCTGTGATTTTCACTGATATTTGACCCGTTCTCCTACAGACAGAACAAACATTTGTCCTTCCACATTCAAAGACCAATGGTATTCCAGCCCTGATGGATCAAGTGGCATTTGATTTGAGTTTCCAAACCATGAACCCTCCCCTTCTAATACCCTGCAAATGCGTTTACTCAAGTCAACACTGTCAGTCAAGGATAGTAATTCAGAACAGAGAATATCAGCTGTTAATGAAACAGTTTTCCCCCCTTGTTCTGAAAACGCTGTTAATCCCAGTCCCACACAGTCTTCCTTACAGACAAAGAGAGAAACAGACAATTCATGGGGCTTTGTAGCTGAGTTTCTGTGTGAATAACTAACGCAGCATCTTCAGTGCAGAGCAATTCTCTGACCGAAGTCGAGCTGTACTTTTGGCTTTGTTTTCAGTTTGGACTAGTTGTCGACCTTGCTGTCTGACCTGGTGTACAGGTAAACTTCTTTCAAACCTGCAGGGGACACCAAGGATAGGAAAATGGAGAAGAAACTATCAAACAAAGTAGAGGATTAGACACAGCCATCTTTCACTCCATTCTTAACCCTGAAACTGTTGGGTGTGGTGCGTCAGTCTCCACAATACATGACTGAATGACAAGATCAGACTGAAGAGCTTTGCGAGACAAAGCGTCTGTTGCAATATCCTCTGTAACCTTTGCTATTGTGAACGTAATAGCTTTTGTGTTAAAAAGTATCCTGAAACAAGAGCAGCAAAAACAACAGAATCCAACCCATGCAGATCCTCTTTTAACATTATTTCATGGCTGGGCCAGCATTTATTGTCTGTCCCTCATTGCCCTTGAGAAGATAGTGGTGAAGGGTCATAGAATCATAGAATCCCTACAGTGTGGAAACAGGCCCTTCAGCCCAACCAGTCCACACCGAACCTCAAAGACAGACCCACCCCATCATGAACTGCTGCAGTAGATGGGGGACTGGGGTTTACTTATGAATGCGCTCGTGTGCCAATAGGTTGAAGGACCAAGTGAATCCCTTCCCTGACACAGTCTGTCTGGTGTGAGCTTGCCGGTGAGCAAGGAAAGAGGATGAACACCTGAAACTCTTCCCACAGGAGGTGCAGTTGAATGGCTTCTCCTCCATGTGAATTAGCTGGTGAGACCCAAGTGTGGATGATTAGTCCCTATCCAAATATGGAGCAGGTCAATGATCTCTCCCCTGAGGGAACTCACTGATTTACAATGAAGGTGGATTTCCACCTGAAATTCTTTCCAAAAGAAATGCAGCTGAATGGCTTCTTCCCAGTATGAACTCGCTGGCATCTCAGTAAACTGGCTGACCGATTGAATCCCTGCCCACATTCAGAGCAGGTTAATGGCTTCTCCCCGCTGTGAACTCTCTGGTGTGTCAATAGGGTGGATCTCTGATCAAAACCCTTGCCACACAAGGAGAAGGTGAAAGTCTGGCTCCCATGTGAACTAGCTGGTGTATGAGCAGTTTGGATGACTGAGTGAATCCCTTCCCACACAGGGAGCAGGTGAATGGCCTGTCGCCAGCGTAAGTGCATTGGTGCACAGTGAGGGCAGAAGAATGTCTGAACCTTTTACCATAGGAGGTGCAACTGAATGGTTTCTGCTCAGCGTGAATTCGTTGGTGTGATTGAAAGCTGGATGAATGAGTGAATCTCTTCCCACACACACAGCAGGTGAATGGCTCTTCCCAGTGTGAAAACACTGGTGTTTATTCAGGTCAAATGAAGATCTGAACCTCTTTGTACAAGGGGTGCAGCTGAATGGCTTCTTCTCAGTGTGAATTCGCTGGTATGACATGAGTTTGGTTATCTGACCTAATCCCTTCCCGCACATGGAGCAAGTAACGGCATTGATGGATTTTCAGCCAGGATGGGTAATTGAATCGCTTCCCACAGTCCCCACATTCCCACAGTTTCTCCATGGGGTAGGTGTATTTGGAGCTCTCTGGTTGAATGATCATTTGGAAACTTGTCCATGCACAGACCACACATACAGTGTCTCCCTGCTCGAATGATGATTTTTTTTTAAACTGTGTGAATGGTTGAAGTTCCTTTCACAGTCTGTACACTGGAACACTCAGTTATGATGTATGTGCCCCAGTGTTTTTCCAGTCACACTGATGTTTGTGTTCTTTTCCCAAAAGACAGAACAAATGTTTCTCCTTCCATATTCAAAGGCTGGTAATATTTCATATCCTGATGAATTGAGTGACTGTGTTGAACCTTGACAGGACATTTTGCTTAGTTTCCATATCTCTGCAATTCCTTCGCCTGGAAAACAAGATGACAAAAGTTAGTCAAAATATAGAAGTTCAAAACAGACAACTCCAGTTTCTGTGGAATAGTTTTTTCCTCTCATTTTTCTCCAATGGCTGTTGGTGAATCCTCTCCACCCATCTCTCAGTGTTTCCTACCTGACCTGAGAACAGATCCTCATTGAGGCATGGTGGCTCAGTGGTTAGCACTGCTGCCTCACAGCTCCAGGAACCCAACCTTGGGTGACTGTCTGTGTGGAGTTTGCGCATTCTCCCCGTGTCTGCGTGGGTTTCTTCCGGGTGCTCCGGTTTCCTCCCACAGTCCAAAGATGTGCAAGTTAGGTGGATTGGCCATGCTAAATTGCCCATAGTGTTCAGGGATGTGTAGATTAGGGGGATGGGTCTGGGTGGGATGTTCTGAGGGTCATCGTGGACTTGTTGGGCCGAAGTGCCTGTTTCCACACTGCCGGGATTCTATAATCTATGAAACAAGGGCAGGACTTATACAATTAACTGTAGAGGCCTGGGTAGTATTATAGAACAGTGAACCCCAGGGATCAGGCACATAGTTATTTTAAATTTGCTTCACAGGTAGACAGAGTGGTTAAGAAGACGCTTAGCATGCTTGACTTCATTGCTCAGACCTTTGGGTTTAGGAGTTGGGATGTGATGTTGAGATTGTAGAGGATGTTGGTGAGGCCTCTTCTGGACTACTTTGTGTAGTTCTGGTTGTCCTGCTCTAGGAAGTATATTATTAAATTGGAGAGGGTTCAGAGAAGATTTACCAGGATGTTGCTGGTAATGGCATGTTTGAGTTATGAAAATAGGCAGGAACCTTTTTCACTGGAGCATAGGAGGTTGAGGGGTGACCTGATAGAGGTTTATAAAATTATGAGTGGCAAAGATAAAGTGAATAGCAAATGTCTTTTCCCTAGGGTGGGGAGTTTTTTACACAGCAAGTGGTTCGTGTGTGGAATAAACTGCCAGACAAAATAATGGATCCAGGTACAGTTTTAACATTTAAAAGACATTTGAACAAGTACATGAATAGGAAAGGCTTGGAGGGATATAAGCCAAATGCAGGTAGGTGGAACTAGTTTAGTTTGGGATTACGGTCAGCATGGATTGGTTGGATGGAAGGGTCTGTTTCCATGCTGTATGATTCTGTGACTCTATAACTCAATGATTTCTCCCCAAAATGGAATTATTATTTATTCTCCTTCCTCCCACATCCCCAGTTGTGAACCATCCTCCTTATGCTGCCCCAGGATGGGACCCATTGTGTTTACTGCTTGCAAATCATTTCCATTGAATATTTGGCAAAAAGCAATTTATAAAAGAAACTGTAAATTCAGGATTGAAATTGGGAAGGAACAAACATTTCTCTTGATTTGAATTTGTTGTGTGCATATCCTCCTTTTCCAATCCCATGTGAAAGAAACGCTGAGCATGCGTCCTGTGGTAGCTTGCCCCCAATAAAGATGGTAGCCCTCATTCCAGGCACTGCTCTGCTTTAGGCCCGCTGCCTTTTCTTGGTCTGCCTCAAACTTCTCATTCCGATCGGAAGGATTTTCCAGTGCTTATAAAGCTTTCCAATCTATTCTCGTTCCACTCCTCTGATGCTCTCGGCTTACTATCACCTTTTACGGACTGCACTCCTGCAGCTTCCCACAGTCATTATCACAGTTACAACCATACTGCGCCTGAGCACGGAAACAGCATCATGTATGTGATATAACAAGGTGTAGAGCTGGATGAACACAGCAGGTAAAGCAGCATCGGAGGAGCAGGAAAGCTGATGTTTCGGGTCCAGACCCTTCTTCATCCAGCTCTACACCTTGTTATATCAGATTCTCCAGCATCGGCAGTTCCTACTATCTCTCAGCATCATGTATGTCCTGCCTTTCATTCACCCTGAATGGATGGAGGATCAGCTGTTCCCGCTCGGTCCTCCAGGCCCGTTGTCAAGTGTCGCCCTCAATCACCCGGGCCACGTTGGGATTGGCTTGATTTGATGTATTATTGTCACGTGTTCCTGGGTACAGGGAAAAATTTTGTTTTGTGTGCAGTACAGGCAGATCATGCCATACAAAGTTCATAGAGTGCTAGAACAAGGCAAGGAATACAAAATTATGGCTGCAGAGAAGATGCACAAAAAGCAAGATGAACATTAGATTTGAAATTTGAGATGACCATTTAGAATTCTAATAACAGTGGGGAAGAAGCTGTTCCTGAACCTGTTGGTACTTGTATTTAAGATTTTGTATCTTCTGCCTGATGGAAGAGTTTGGAAGAGGTAACTAGGGTCAGAGGGGTCTTTGTTGATGTTGCTGCCTTTCCATGGCAGCGAGAAATATAGATGGAGTCAATGGATGGAAGGTTGACTTCCATAATGGTCTGGACTGTGCACACAACTTTCTGCAGTTTCTTATGGTTCAAGGCAGAGCCATTGCCATCTCAAGTCGTAATGCAACTGCATAGAATACTTCCCATGTGCATCTACAAAAGTTGGTAACAGTCCATATGGACATCCCAAATTTCCTTAGTCTCCTAAGGAAGTAGAGATGCTGTTGTGTCTTTTTGATTGTTGCATCAATGTAGGTGGTCTGGCACAAATTGTTGGTGATCGTCACTCCTAGGAACTTGATGGCCTCATACCATCTCCATCTC